AAAAAAAAAAGAAATGATTACAAATTTACAATAAAGTATAGTATTCACACAACTATCATTAAGTAAATCTAAAAAATGCGAGTACTTTCATGTATTGCATAAATTATTGATATTTTATAATTTTTTCTAATTGAATATTGAAGTGTTTCCATTTGTGCTCCGAGCACCCACAATGCTTTAGTCTCTTAAAAAAAATCACATGCCATGTAAGAAATAGACATAGTATATAAAAAAATGTTTCACAATGCAATTAAAAGTGGACATAGTCTAACTTATGTGGCACTAGAAAAAAAGAGACCAAGTCCACACTTGGGTCTATTTTGGACCCAAGTGCAAACCCGCCTAGTCATTAATTGTTCACAATTTTTTTTAATGGCAAAACACATTTTTTTTATATACATTTATTATTACTATATTTTTAATGGTTGGTTAGTATTCTAGACCTATTACTTTTTTGTTTTGCATTACATAGATTTTGAATTTTTTAGCTTGGGTTTGTCCATGTTATGGACTTAAGTCGATTTATTTGCCACATATGCAAAAAGAGACTCAAAGCATAATAGCACAAATACACAAACCTCCTTTCTCTATTCCAATATGCCACATCATCCAAAACCACATTCTTACTTCTACCCACATAAACCTCCAATAACAATACACCTGATAAACCTCCTTTTTCATGGGTCCCACATATTTCCCACTTACTTTTATAATAATTTTTTTTTTTATATATTTTAAAACTATAACTCCACTTTTATCTTTATTTATTATAACTATAGATTATTAATTAAAAAAAAAGATTAGAAGTAATTATAAATCAAATTAATTCAATTTTATGGTACAAGAACGAGTAAGTATGTTTCCAAAAAAAAGTGAACGAGTTTTTTTTAAGTAGAACGAACGCCAATTAGTGTTGCTCGAACAAGATAGAAGTAAAGGTATTTTATTTCCGTCAAATTAAAACTTGAATTATTTTAGCATAAAAAAAAATTCAATTTTATTGTTAGATGGATTGTCAGAAAAAAAAAGATGAAAACGAGCTTTTTCAAATTAGAATAAACGCTAACAAAAAAAAAGATGAAAACGAGCTTTGTCGAAATTAATTTTCGCTTCTTTTTATATGTAGCCAACGAACCCGTCAACACAACCATCATTGGCCGGAAAATTTTCGCGTTAAATCTATTCCTCATGGAGTTAAATAATTAACAAATCACCCATTAACAAATCTATTCAGAATACGTTTTGTTGAAAAATAATTAATTAAAAAAACATATTCTGAGAATAGGTGCTTTTATTTTTGTCCACAATTTTTTTTTTTATTTTACTTTTATCCAGTTAATTTTTTGTTTTATATAAACTAAAGAGAAGTTAATTATCACAAATATTCTCTTAATTAAAAAAAAAATAATGTATTAAAGGGAAATGGGGGTGGGCCATGGAAGGCAAAAAAAAAATAAAAAAAGTTAAGATACAAAATTTAGTGGGGGCATAAGTAGGGACTCCTTTCTCCCACTCTCTTTGTGTTCGTGGAAAATACACAACAATAAATTTAAAGGATGTGTGATACACATCAACTAATCTCTTCTTTTTTTTTT